ATTAGAGAACTTTAAAGTGTTCTCAGTAAATCTGGCTGCAATGCTATTAGACTTTTTAAAAACACACATGATTACTAGGGAATAATTATTATTTAGAGCACATTAACAATAGCAGAGACCTTTGAACTAATTATAAAATATTTTGATTTTATGATATATATATATATATTTATGTTCCAAAGTGAGACTTTATTCTTTATTCACTTTTATCTCTACCTCTCTATATTTTATTAATAAAATTTAAAAGTATCTCTTTTAGTGACATTGAATTTGTAAACTAAGAATCAAAGCATGAAAGATAGATGAAAATGTACCATGAATATATACTAACAGCTGACAAGATTCAAATAATTACTGTGAATTAGATTTACATTTTCTTTAGTTGAGCTGTGACTTTCAAACCTCTTAAACAAACAAGGAATCTGAATCTTACTTGAGCAGAATACACAAGACATATACTCTAATACTTAAACTCCAAATTTTCTAAATTTGGTTCTACCAAAAGAGGTATATATACCATGGTAACTTTAGAAAGTTTCTTTATCTGTTTGTTTATTTTGTTTTTGTTTTAAATAAATGCCAGCATTCTTTTTCATAATTCCCATAACTCCCTCCAGTGTCCCCCTACAAGATCGCTTTACTGTTGTTGGAATATGTTAGGTTGATTTCTGATTTCCACAGAATCAGTGGTCATTCAGGAATGATTATTATTCAGAATGTACTCACAATAGCCCAGGACATTAAAAATATCTCTATTGCAGAAATAGTAAAAGATAGTCTGAAATAGAAAAAAATAGTGCTTAGAATTTCCACATGTATTGTGCAGCTTCATCAATCACCAATATTTCATCAATCCTTTTATCTTATCTTCTCAATATCAAATAGCTCTTTCTGCATGACAACTGCTCTAAGACCAACTTTTTTTTGTCTTTTATGGTTTTTTGGTACCGGGAATCGAACTCATGACCCTCCACTTGCCAGGCAGGTGCTGTCGCTGAGCTATATCTCCGGCCAGACCAATTGATTTAATAAAAAGAAAAATACACTACTGTTTGTAGGTCTTTCCCTTCTTTGTATGAGTCTGCTGATCTGTCAGTCTTGGATGATACTGACTGAGCTGCTTCGTACACGTGTTGTCAACCGGCAGGTCACGTGGTCTGACTGGTCCAGAATGGCTGCCCTTTCACATTTGGTGGCTGGCTGGGTATTGGCACAGGATTACAGGAGTAGTGTGCAATGTGACTGTCATTTTCTGGCAGGGCAGCCGGCCTTGCTCCCAGGATAACTGACCAGAGTTACCAGATAGAAAGAAAAGAATTAAAAATAGAGCACTTCCTGAGACCTACAGGCAGAACTCATTCTGTTGGTCGCGAGCTTGTCAGTTTCCAAAGGTCAGGAGACAGCTTCTTGAAAGGAGTTGTAAAGTCATCCTGCAAGTGGGTGAAGATAAGGATGAGAGATGTGAGGAAACCTTTGCAACCACCCTACCACACTTTGCCGCTAAGTACTTCAGAAATTGTACTTCTATTTTTTAAGTGGTCCTGACTTTGTTTCTATATTAAATTGTATGGAAGCCGTGCAAGCTAACCAAAATCTTTAGATAATATTAATAGACTAATCGTATTACCATTAAGAAAACGACCACTACCATCGGAACTTTTCATACATTTCGTTTATTATTTTGTGCTAATTATACATAATTTCACTTATGCCTCATAAATATGCTATAGTGCAGCAGCTATTACACGCACTGGTAGAGATGAGTAAGAGGGGTCAGGTTAACTACCTGAGGCCGTAAATCAAGTCACCTCTTATACTGACCCCATTTTCATTTATTTGCTATATATTACTCTGTCCTGTTGGTCTGGCATTTGCTTAAGAAATCCGATAAAATTCCCAAAGGCTAAACTAACTGACGATTCCATTTCTATAGGCAGAAGATGAATTTAATTAATGGAGTAAATTGTTCCTGGATTTGGCATCATACAGCTCTTTTAAATACTCAGTAGGCTTGCCTACCGTATATGAGGCTATGGATTTGATTCCCAGTGCATTCCCTGTAAAATCACAAGAAACTCGGAGATCACCTTATAATATTGATTATATGTTACAGGCTATGTTTAGAAAGGACCAAGAACATTACTTCCTTATTGTTGCATTGGAAGTAGTGCTGTGATGTATGCATGGTTGTCCACATTTATAATAAAGTCACAAAACCAGCATGATTTTACTTAGCCCGCTTCTGTCCCCTGATGCTGGAGATTGAACCCAGGGCCTTCACACTGAGCTACTTCCTCAGCTCTTTTTAATTTTTTTTTTTCTTCCAGTACCAGGAATCGAACTCATGACCTTGCACTTGCCAAGCAGGCGCTTTGCCACTGAGCTACATACCCAGCCCCTCTTTTTAATTTTTTGAAATTTATTTTAAGACTGGACCTCACTTTTAAGGTGCCCAGGTGGGAGTCAAACTTGCAATCTTTCTGCCTCAGTTTACCAATGTTCTGGAATTGCAGGTGGGCACTCTGCTTTTAATTCTTGTACCACAGTCAAATTAGAAAAGCTGAGGCAGTCATGAAGGGTCAGCTGTATCCTAACCTTCTAAAATGTCTATTGTCCTTTCACTTAGATAGCGAGGATGATTTTTCTCTTTCTAAAGATGAATTAAGGGAGGAGGAAGATTTAAACCAATGTATTTAGATCCATAAAGTTGATTGACTTATTTTCAGATATGTGTGAACATCGTTAATATAAACTAACAGATATCAGGTTCATGTGCTAGGTTTCAAATATTTTAGTATATTTTGCTCTTGTCTTAAATGTCAGCTCCATCCTGAGATATAATAATTGCTTTTATCTCCAAGGTCTAGTGTGAAGCATTTAAGCTCATTCTTTCAAAGAAGATAAATAGGGATATAATTTTATTGCTGTCTTACTGCTGCAAAACAGAATTACTCAACACTATGCCCTTTATACACTTGACAATGAAATGCAGGCTGACTTTCTTTTTCAGCTGCAAAACTATCTTAGGGATTCCTTCATCACCTAATGGAATCTTGATTGCAGGGGGTCACATTTTAACTTTCAATAATCACAGTCTTGCAGTCTGTAAGCATACATCAATCTCATGTAAATTGCAGCTAATTTCTTCAGGAGATAAGGTCAGATGTAGAATTCACCAGTATCTATACTCAAAACTGATGATGTCATCAGTATTTGCTAGGTCCAGGAATGCAATTGCATTTATTTTATAGTGGGGGTTCAATCTGGCATCTTTTTATGGGATAGACTTTCTTGGGTTAAGACCATGGACATTTTCTTGGTTAATTCCATTGCAATTCCAAAGTCAGATTACCACTACTGAAGAATTAGTTCCTATGAGCTATTGTTCTATAGCAATTAGAGACCATTGAACTTGCTCGCCTAAATCAGGAGAGTAATTGAAATTGAGCCTGTTCTCACTTATTGGCTGTCCTTATTTCTAGGTGGGATGATGTATGAGATATTAATCTGGAAATATGGTCTCCTAATAGCATCATGGTTTTAAAAGGCTTGCTTCTGACAAATAGAGGGCAACTCATTAAACCCATATATGCACTACTATTAAAGCAATCAGCATTGAATATTAATGAGACAGAATATTAAATGATAAATTGCAGGTAAAGAGTGATATGTAGCTGTAAACAATGAATTTAGATGGCTATTATAAAACTATTTCAGAAGACAAAGAAAAAATCCTCAAAGGCCAAGCCATTAATATTCTTTAGACTTTTCATCTTCAAAATAGGTATGCGGATCAATGTCTCCCAACTTTGGGCAAATGAGAAGAGCTCAGTTTCTGAAGTTCAAGCAATGTCTGCTTTTTATAATTAAAAGAATTCTTTCTGCAGATTATTTGCTCTATTGACATAACTCATTTTGTCAGGAAAATGGGGGTCCATATTGTAATACATTTGAATGCACTTAAAATTGCTCACATGAATTGTCATTTTAGCAAATATTCTGAAGCAAGAAAGTATAATATTTCTAATGCCCTATTTATAGATGGGAATTTTGGGAACAGAAAAGTAAAATAATGCTGTTATACTAATGTATAGCTTTCAGGAGAGGGGATTTAATCCAAAGGAGAATTTTCCTTCATGATCAGAGTAACTTGTTTCAAATTACATGGATAAGTAGGTCTGCTGTTCCTTAAGATTCCCGAAATCATAGCACAAAAGAACAGCTTTAGTTGGCTCTTTAAATTTGACCTATATGCACATACATAGCAAGGAAAAAGGTCTATAGTTGCTGGAGTTGCAATTTGAGATAAAATCAAAAAACCAAAGTAAAAGGAATTAAATATAAATATAGTAGCTTCTCTCACTTCTGTATTCATTTTTATCAACATTTGTGGCTGAACAAATACAGTAACTGACCCAGAGCAAAGAAAGGAATATGATACACTGGAAAAAATATCACATTTTGGAGCAAATCATTTTAACTTCATTTTTAAGAATACATTATAAATAATGTTTAGATTTATGTTTATTATCATGCTTCAGAAAAAAATAGTAAGAAAAATTAAAGAAAAATTCAAAATTTAATGTTTATTCTATTTCTGTAAACTTTGTAGCCAGGCTGGCCTTGGACTCATGGGATCCATCTACCTCACCCTCCCAAGAGCTAGGATTACAGGTGTGTGCTACCACACCCAGCAAAATTATCATGATAGTCATTGACAGTACAGTGTGCTCAAATGCCTTCCAAATAAATCACCACCAAATTTCAAAAGTAATTGCAAATGTAATTAATTTAAAATGGTTTATGGTTTAAAATACATCATGCATTTAATCTTTTATATTTTGTATAGAAGTGAGAAAACCTCATTATATATTTATGGAATTATTAGAGGCCAGGTTCAATAGAATAGTAAGCAAATAGAAAAATGTTTAATTTCTATTGTGCTGACATCTTGGTGTCTACCTACTAATATGTAATTCCATTTGTTTTTGTGTTTGCAGGTTGTTAAAATTTTCTTCAGCTTTAAATGAAAAGTAGGAGGAGACAGTAAGATTTTCAATCTTTCTGGGTTGTTTACTTCCTGAAGAGCAATGGCGAAACTTTTGAATGGAAAAAGGTTAATCCTGTCACTAATTTTCCTTTTGTTAAAATTGTCATCAGCAATTGAAATCCCACTCTCAGGTAAAGTGACAGATTTTGATACCTACCATGGAATTTTGTTTTTGCTCTTTAAGTAGAATATTTGTGGATTGAGAATATAGCTTTTAAAATGACATTTTATGTATATTTCCATCAGTGTATCATCACAAGTCATGTTTTCTCTATCCTTTGTGGGTCGATATTTGTCTTCAATAATTATTTTGTAGCTCAGGTATTTAGCATCTTATGTAAACTTGGCCTATGACAAGAAATGTAACCAGTACATCAGGGGATATTTTGCAGTACATCTAAGATAGTCTGAAATATTACAAACAGATTTTAATGTTATGGTAGGGGTTAGTTTATTTAGAGTAGAATTATGATTTAGAAGATACTGGCTTTCAACAACTGAGACAGGAAGGAATTGAATAAGCTTTATATTCTTTTTCAGGATGATTATGCATTTTAAAAATGAAAACACAGAATTATAAAAATAGCAAATAGTCTCTTATAACTGAAAGTATAAATTAACTCTAAATAGAATGTATACTGTAATATAAGGTCCTAGTCAGAGATTAGTATATAATTGTGTGTGTGTATATATATATATATATATATATATATATATATATATATAAGTTGGAAATTTTTATCATATATTGCAGTACTATATTTCCTTTTGCTACTTCTGTATATAACTTGAAGAGTTCTAATACAAGAATAATTTATTATTTATTAGAATCTTAGCATTAGAATGATCATTGTAAATTATTTAAGTTCTACAGTTTAGATGACAGAAAATTTAATAAATGTTAGCTTACTAAATGTGTCAAAACCGGGCTGAAATTTTCCTCCTTGAAGTAATCAGACAGACTGAATGTCAATAGAAAAAGTAGCTTTATTATCATGTTTTAAAACCGTTTGTAAGGGTCCTTTTCAATTACTTGATGTAGCAATTTTATACCACATATATATTTGTAGTTCCACACCTCTGCTCCCTCCTAGTTAAGAATCCATAGTCCATGGTTTTCAACAGAGAATTAAGCCTTAGTGCTCCTATTTCTTAAAGATTTCCACTTGTTTGTTCTCCGGATATACAGATTTTAAATTGTCTACACATTTAACTAAAGTCTTTTAGTCTACATGCAATGTATCAGTTTTCATCACCAAAAAGCCTAGGTATGAACATTCTGAGAATCCCTAAAATTCTCTTTAGAGGATTCTTTCATATAAATATGAAATTCCCAGTAAAAACAGCAAAGATGTCACTGGGCTTTCTGATTCAGCTTCCTAATCATATTCTCTAACAAATACATGTATTCTCCATCTTTTCCTACTTGATCCTCAGTGGTGATGGATGTGGAATTTTGTATTAATCCATGGTGCTCATTTTTATTCTGGTTGTCTGAGTGACTTATGCATTTTCATGCTGCAACACCCTTAGATAACAATTGTTATAAAATATTAATAACATATTTTCAGAACAACTGAATATTATCCATTTATTTCAGTACTCTAGAGCACTCACTAGTAAACGTGGCCAAGGCAGGTACCCAACTTGAATCTCAAAGAGTCTGGTATCTCTGTAATTGGCCTAATTATAGAGGAAAGGATTTATAAGATCGACTATATATTCATACAAACACCCGAAGTTTATTAGCTCCATTCCTTGAATAATTAGCTGCTGCAAAGCCTTTACAACCTTAGCATATTTAAGAAAGAATAACGTTGTAATAAAGAAGTTGTTTTTGAGTTATTAGCTGATATCTTAGAGACTGTGGCCATTGTGTGTCATCATCCAACATTTATAACTCAAGTATAATTTAAATAAAATGAATTTGCAACAAGCCCAACCTCCAGTCTACTTAGGAATGGTATTAATCAGAGACAAGGTAAATATCAATGAAGACAGGACATTTCTTGCATGTTAAAATTTTATGAATATCCAATGGCTAATGACTGGATTTGCATTAATGTCTGTAAGCTAATAATGTTCACTTATCAGATTTTTACAATTGGAAAGAGCATTTAGTTATTATTCTACATTTGCTATTGATGCTGAAACTGTGGTTCATGGAGTCCTTGGGATCACAGAGACACTGCACATTCAGGTGGTTTACGAGATCAAACTCTTGAAAATAGCACTAAAACGCTAGTGGTCCTTTATTTTCACTCTCAGTGTGACTTACGTGGATGTATGCAAGCAGTAGTGAGAAAACTGTTGCTCTAGCACTGGGCAAGGCTTTGGCACCAAATTGCACTAATAATCAAATGTCCTCTTCTGATTGATAAAAACATCCAGAAGACAAAACAAACCTAAACAGTTTTGCTAAGGCTGTAATTGTTGAAGCCATTAAACAATGCTAACTTTATGCATTCTCCACTTTTAAGTACATTTCTTCTAATATTGGAATGAACTGAAAGATAGACATAAAGCAATTCAGCTGTATAAAAGTAGGATGATTGTGTTTGTTCCTTGATTATGTCATTGCTAAAGACCCAATACTATTTTTAGTTGAAAGTATAAATGACAGACAAATTATGGTTGCTCAGATGTATATCGGGCAGATACATTTCCCAAAATGAATCGGTTGACCTTGTCACTTTCAGATAAACTGGAAGAGTGTGTTGTCAATGATAAAATGTGAGTTTTCAAGCAAAAATCAAAACTGTGAAAAATTTGTATCCCTTGCTCTGAGCTGGAGAGCTTTGCAACACATGACTTCTCTGATTAGATCAGTGGTAATTTTAACAGAAATGTATTTTTCATGTTCTGAATGAAATGTGCCACTACATGAAGATCTGAAGAATTCAGTGAGCCAATACATTTTTCCTAGATGACCACTGTGAGATGTTACAAGATATGCATAGATTAAAATGGATGAAATTATTTAATGTGATGGAATAGTAAAAGTTTTTTGGTAGATTTCAGATTCCACATCACAATTTAACATTTAACAAACTAGCATTTGCTGTACTTTGGTGCACTGTACAGAAAACCATATCCACGATTATCAGAAGGACTGTAAAAAACCGCCAATTTTTTCACTGCATATCTGTTTATGGCTGATTTCTTCCTATTCATATAGGGGAAATAAATTTCCAATCTATAGATATCTGGCATGAGTTCATGTTCTCTAAAATCAAAGAATGAATTTTAGGAACAATGGAGGTTAAGAGCAGAATATATTTATTGGAGAAAAGAAAGCTTCTGTCTGAGAGAGGGACAGAAGGGGACCTAAGTGGGTTGCCAAGGACCCTGAATTTTCTAGGGACCTTTATAGAGCAAACCCAAGATGTGGAGCGGGTTCATGGCAGGAAACATGGGAAATCACAAGGTGGGCATGAGGTGGGACAATACTATTGTTAGCCAATAAGATTACAAGTATAATTGCCCAGGTAAAATTGACTAAATTGGAATCAAATGGGGAAGCAAGTCATGTAGCAAGAGGACAGAAATACAGAACAGGGGTTTTTCCTTAGGGGTTTGGGTTAAATGGCTTTTGCTGGCTTTCTCAAGGTGATGTAACCTATTTAGGGTATCAGTCCCTGATGTTTACCCTTAGGAAGTGCATGGGTGCATTGGTCTTATCTTTGTCTTGAGGTCTGATCCGCAGCTGGAGGTATCTGTCTTTCCCACAGTTACAAGGTATCTCCTCTTCCACACTGGCTCCTTTGAGGGCCTAGCCCTTCTGACTGCCTATAATATATCTAACTCAGTTGCCTACAACACTCACTTCATACAAATTAAACTACTGCAACAGAAAGGTTTTTATAATTGTTATTTATTATAACAAAGCACATTTTCAATGAATTTATAAATCAATATCCTAAAGAATTTTTTTTTAATTTTCAATATAGTCAATATGGTTGTCTATAGCCCATACTAAGAAAAGCACTTCGGAATGTCTTATGAGGAACTGATGGAGTCTTAACGAAAATGTTTGAGAATAACGTATCTATTCAGAATCCTAAATTTCACAAATGTGAAAACAGAGAGAGTGTGCTGGGCCATTCCCAACCTCACAGCTTTTATAGTCCCATTTATAGCTTGACTGTGGAATATTATTTAACTCAGGCTCTATGCCTGTCTCTCAATTGCATTTCTGAAAATACATTTGCTAAAGTCAGTTCCTGCTGCTAAAGAGTTTACATTTCTTTATAAATTTGACACTATGCTCTTATTAGAGTTCTAAAACGTGTACTGAAGAAAGTTTCAATTAAAAAAAAATGCCGACTGCGTATCCACAGTAGATCTTCCCATGTACGGTCTGTGTCACATTTCAAGATTTAAACCAAACTCATACCTTCAACCTTAGTACTATTTGTTTGTTTATTTATTTATATTTTAATGTATTTATTGCTAGTCAGGATGGTCAGAGTCACCTGGCTGAGTGACTAGGTGAGAAGCAAAGCTAATGCCTACTTCAAGAGCCGGGGATGTAGCTCAGTGGTGCAATGCCTGCCTCGCAAGCGAGAGGCCCCGAATTCAATTCCCCATACGAAAAAAAAGTTCTTAAAAAGAATTTGCCTTGAAGGCTAATTAACTTTCTGAATATTATCATTATAAGGGAAAAATAAAATAACTCAAATTCCCAATATATAATTGGGGAAGGAAAAATTTATAAGTGGAAAATGACAATCACTAAAATTGCTCATGAAGAAAAGTATTGTTAATACTTATTATTAAAAGTATTTTTAGCAAAAGTTTTAAAAAAGTATTAACAAAATAAGTGGAAATTAAAGAGTATGAGAAGAGTCTATTTTCTTTTCTAATAAATAGTACCCTCTCATCATTTTCCTGGGCTAGCATGCGGTGGTGGCAAATAGATCAGGAACCAGTGTAATCATGCACTGCTTCAATAAATGTCCTGTGGTGAAATGACCACAGCATTTATCAAGAATCGTTGCTATTTTTGACCATGCTAAGAAACTTAGCACAACTCCTTACTCAAAAGAAGAAAAATCTATATACTCAAAGATATTGGTTGAAATATGTTACTTGATAAGAAAGAAATGGAAAGGAATCTAATTGCTAGTAATAGGAGAATTATCAACAAATTATATTACATCAGTGGGAAGAAACAATGTAAAAGCAATAAATTAATTATAATGTCAATAGAAGTATGGAAAGCTATCACTTTCAAAATTACTGAACTAAGGAAAAATGCATATGCATGTCAACATAAACTAAAAAATTATTATTATTATTTTTTATTTGGTATATTTTGAGATAAGGTCTCTCTACGGTGTTAAGGCTGGACTTGAACTCACTATGCAGCCCAGATTGGCCGGGAAGTCCAGGAAATTCTTCCGCTTTACCTCTACAGTGCTGAGATTACAGGCATGCATTACCATGGCTGGTTTAATGCCAATGATTTTTAAGAGATATTTTAAAAATGTGATAAGACATTTTTTCTGCTTATGAATTGCTACATGATTTTGGTGTTAAGTAAAATTAATACAGTATCATGAAATGGTGCCAAGGAGGTATATTTCTTAGAAGTAACATATATTTTGCAAAGAGGAAGTCAGATTTGTTCTGTGATTTTCATCTTGTATGAACTTTTTAATTCAGAAAGCACGTTTGATTTGTTCTATATGTAAATAAACCTTGTTCAGTCTTTGAAAGTCTTGTGCTTTAAATGTATCTTTTTAACATTTAGTTCAACAGGTTCCAACAATCATAAAACAGTCAAAAGTGCAAGTTGCCTTTCCCTTTGACGAGTATTTTCAAATTGAATGTGAAGCTAAAGGAAATCCAGAGCCAGTGTGAGTATCTCTTCAAATTGAACGATTCTTTAAAAGTGTGCTGTCCTTCTTCCTACTGTGTTTCTATCTAACTATCACAAACTTACAGGACTGTAAAACTTCATATGGTTGAAAGTTAAGGTTTCCAAGCAACGTTATGTGTATAAAAATAAAGTTTGGTTATTTTGCATGTGTTAGATAAGACTTTTTACATCATTATCCACATTGTCCCAGTGCTGAGAGTGCAGTGGGAATTTAATTGTATGTATAAAGTTCTGCAACATTTACCAAAAACCATAAAAAAATTATTTTACTATCAGGTAACTGATATTATTTCTAAGGAATTGGCCTAAAGGAATATTTGGGTAAGTATTAATAAAAATGTAGGATTTTTATCACAATTGAAAGGAAAATGTTGAGATGATTAAGTATATTGTCTCATATTATGTGACATAAGGTTTGCGTAAAAGTTGTATTTAGTACCCATGTAAAACTGAAACAATTCAATTGGCAAAGTTGTTAAGTTAGCATGGTTAGAAATATATGACAAATGAATATAAAAGTACTACTAAGAAATATAAGCAAGTAATAAAATTTGATGTTGTTTCTTACTTATGAATAAGCTCTTTACACACATACACCCAAAACCATATTATATATTTATATCTGTTGTAGTCTCTTTCTTTGCAGTCTCTAAATACTAATAACAATAGAATTGCACTTTTAATTGGAAAAATTTTAAAATAATTAATTTAAAAGAAACAGCATAAAACCTACCTTCAAATTTATCCTCTCAGTGTCAGTGCATTTTTATGGCTTATAAGATTTCTCAGATTTTTTTGAGATCATTACTTGTATTCTAATATCTTCTACTGTATACCTTTTAATATCTTGCTTTTGTATATTTATATAAACACATCTAAAAATTGAGAAACAGTATGATGTTTTTAGAATTATTGTTTATTTTTATCTTATAGATATTCTTGGACTAAGGATGATAAGCCTTTCGATCTTTCTGATGCTCCGATAATTGCATCTAATAATTCAGGAACATTCAAGATTCCAAACGAGGGGCACATATCCCACTTTCAAGGGAAATATCGCTGTTTTGCTTCTAATAAGCTAGGAGTCGCTATGTCAGAAGAAATAGAATTTATAGTTCCAAGTAAGTGTTACAACAGAGTTTTCATTTTACAACTATTTTTAATGAAGCTTTGAATAGGTATTACATGGGTTCTGATGAAATAAGTCATTATTCATTTAATCATTTTATAGCTGTCTTTTTTCTGTTTCACTAACTTCATGTCTGACAAAGGGAAAACATGATTATGCCTTACATGATGACAGTTAAGGTCAATATATTATTAGTTAAATTTAGCTAAGTTAATCAGCAATGTTAGATAACTCTAATGCTCCTGGTTCAACACAAATCTACTTCTTCTTGATAGAGATAGCTGTAGGTCTGGAAGTTCTGCTAGGCAACTCTTCATGCAACTTGCTTTGTGATTATAGGTGATGGAGAAACTACGAACCTTGGGTTGTATCATATGACACATACGACCTATGCAACGACTCTGGGACACCGAGCATTCTACATAGGCTCTTAGATGCTCCCAATGACAAATTACCAGGCAACTTGTACTCATCTTGTTAGATGTAGCAAGACAAGTTGCACTGTCTTACTTAATTTAAATGTGTGTCCACTAGGAGTATGAGCTACCAGTAATTTGTCCTAGAAATAAAAAACATTGTAAAACACTTTGCTATTAACTGTGCTATTAACCAGCAATTGCCAGCAAGTTTAATTTATTTAATTATTAGCATATTTTGCATATGTGATGAGTTACTGATAACTATTTTTAGTATTTGCTCATTTACATTCACTGATGTTAAGTTTCCTAACTTTACATAGTTCTAACTAAAAATTTCATAGGGTAAATTCTTATAAATAAAATGGTCAGTCAACTTCTATTCAAGAGTTTCTTCTTGTAGAGCCCTAGAAACTGAAGTAAATGATAGAAAGTCCTAAAGGTAAGAGAATGTATATACTTGTGGATGGGAGCAGGGGAAGAAACAAACAAAAAATAAGAATATTTTTCTTGAAGTTAGGTGATGAGACTGTATTTAAATTGTAAACACTGTATATAATATAGATAAAAACTACCCATCATTTATACTCCTATAACTAAAGTATGAATTTTAAAATTTGTAATTACACTAAAAATATAGAAAAAGTGAATGATTATCAAGCTATGTGGTACATGGGAGCAGAACAAAGTAAGAAAGAAGAAAAAAAGAAAAGTTAGAGTAGCAGAAAGATAAAAAAGCTGAAAATAAATATAAATGTAGGGGCTGGGGATTTAGCTCAGCGGCAAAAGTGCTTGCCTGGCAAGCGCAAGGTCGTGAGTTTGGTTTCC